AATTGTGATAGAAGTAATTCCAAGGGTGAAGTTTATTATAATTAGTGACCTGTGCTTCTTTTTATATGTAGATGTTTCAGGTTTTGAGAATAAATTGGTTGAACGACACCCAAAATTTAGAGGAAGTATTTGCATACCCAGAATATGCCCATCGAGGATTATATTATAGCTCAAATTTCCTTTAATGGTAGACAATTATTCAATGCAAATTAGCTTTTTAAGTGACTGAAATATTAAATAGTTTACAATATGGTATATCACTAAAAATATATTACTTTTAGGTACAATTAGGGCCCGATACATTTCAAAAAGTAGATTATTTTATATTAAATGAGGTATTGTACCAACAATCAATTTATATTAATAACGGAGATTAAAAAATAACAGAATAAATAGTTCTTTTTTTATACTACAAAAAAAACTATAGAATACAACAGTATTTAAAAAAATAAATAAAAAGTTATGTCCCGGCCGAGATTCGAACTCCGGTCTCTCGCTTTCTAGCCCGACTCCTTACGCACTGCTCCACAGTAACTTGCTTAGCGATAATTCAATGACGGTATATAAACAAAAAAACAGGTTTATAACAATATCTTGACGATTTGAACTGGCGCGTGCAGCGTATTGCTGACCAATAGCGCCCGTTATCACCTGTGACGGTAAGCGACCAACCTGCGCAATATCATACCTTGTATTCTTTTGTACCATGATATATTTGTTCAGTAAATTTTAATGAATAGTGTTGATTATTTATAATACCAAATTAATATCAAATATTTAAGTGATGGCTGAATACAATATGAATAAAATAACAATAAAATTGGTATATTTGCATAATACAAAATTAAGTTTTAAGAATAAAGGTGTTACTAAAAATACTAAGAAATTCATATTTATTTGTTTTAATTGGTCTAATGTTATTTACATTTTATGTAAGAATTATACCGTATCATCGAAAAAAATCGGCGTCTAGTTGGCTTGGAAATGAACATCGATGACATGCCCTAAATAACTGTACACATAAAATAATTAACTAGAATTTTACAATCTTGGAAAATTTGATATTCTTGAATCTTGTTTCTAAATATACTAAATTTTTTGATTTTCTTGGGATTTAGGTTCGGGAAAAACGCTGATTAAGTTTTCATTTGGTTTTTCATTATTTTTATTTGGTTTAAAAAAAAAACGGTTCGGCTAACATTATAGCCTTCATCAGTGTTGTGTCATATGAAAAAAATAGTGTCGAATATAATCCAAAAAATTACATATAAAATATTCATACCACGCACATAATGTTTACTGCGTACTGCGTACTCCATAGTCAATGTAGATAATTTTAGTGTTAAGAATAATAATTTTAAAAAATATGTGGTCATCTTTTGATAAGTTTATATTAGTTTATTAATTGCAGTAAACATAATGAGGTGTGAATTATATTGTATATGTAATTTTTTGGATTATATTCGACACTATTTTTCTCATATGACACAACACTGATGAAGGCTATAGTTAGCCGAAACGTTTTTTTTTAAACCAAATAAAAATAATGAAAACCCAAATGAAAACTTAAATCAGCGTTTTTCCCGAACCTAAAAATCCCAAGAAAATCAAAAATTTTAGAATAATTTTACATATAAAATGCCAGCGATCTTCATTTCATAGCCATCGTTGACGCCTTTTTTTAGATGATATTGTATTATTTGTAAATATAATTTTTCAAACATTGATACTTGCAAAATATACATATAAATTTTTTGAATGCAAATAATAATACATCACTATTAGTAGATATTGAATGTTTTTTGTTAAATTAGATCGATTTTCAAAACCCAAAATTTAAAATGTATTTACATTTTACCCAATATCTTATGTAATACATTATTTGTATATTGTAAAACATTTGCTGCATTGGTATGGTTCATAGTTTATTTGCCAAAGTATTTATTACTATAAATAGGTATATATGTTGTAGTTATTAACTGTATATTATGTATATTTCATGTAAACTATATCATTTTTAAAATACAAACCAAAAATCTGAGGAATAATTATGTTTTCCATGTATTCTATAACATATTTATTAATCCGTTATATCTAACTAGCGTGACGTCATAAATCTCGCCCGGTGGCTGATCTTTTAATAGAAGGCACTGTGCGACCGAGAGCTCAGAATGTTCTCGGCGTTTCGTAGCCACTGTGTTCCCAAATTTCCACGCTCTTCTAGAACGTCATATTAAGTATTCCACAACATTTATTAATCCGTAATATCTAACTAGCGTGACGTTAATCTCGCTTCTAGGCTGTTCTATTAAAGAGGGCATTGCGCCAGCGCATCCACACCTTGGAGTAGCAGTGGGAACTATCGAATGAATACTATCGAAACATTCGATAGTTGCAATTCATTCGAATAATTCGATAGTTAGTAAGAAAACATTCGTTGAAAACTATTCGAATAGAAATTATCGAATAGATCCGTCATCTGCCTTGAAATATTGTGTTCTAGTAATTCGGCAGCAAAAACCATTCATTTATAAGATTCATTCATTTATAAAATTCATTTATTCGTCAGGATCGATTATAATAAAACATTAACTGGATTTTAGTTGTCGCTCGGCATAGGTTTCTTTCCGAGAAACCCGGCAGCGGTCGGTGGCAATGCTATGAAAGAAGCCGGCATCTTTCATTTTTTGCGGAGTCAGATAAAGATAAGGACACATTATTTTTTTTATTGAGGTGTTCGTATTTACACAGAAAATACATTATGAAGGGCGCTGTTGCCATATATTGGTATTAGTTGATATTAGCAAAGAATATTATTGTTTGGCTTTAGTTAGTTAGGGATAGTATGTCTATATATTTTGCATTTTTATTATTAATATTCTGTTGTTACACTTCAATAATACTTGCTATTTTGGATGTAGGAAAATTATTTTTAATGTTTTTAAGCAAAGACTGGTTTAATAAATAATAATAACAGTAATAATTTTTTATACCTATTAACAACAAAATTTAAAATAATTTAATATAAACATTTTTTTAAGTAGTAGCAAAATATAAACAACAAATTAGATGTCAAAATTATTTATATTAGATCCTATTTAAATATAATATAGTCTCTAAATTTTTTGTGTGGCAACGTTGGTTTATTAAATAATACTAATTACAGAACTAATTTGTTATATTAACAACAAATTTTAAAATCATGAAATATAAACATTTATTAATTTTCTAAGCATGCAGTGTAATGGAAGGAAAATATTAATAAAAAATTAGAAATCAAAACTATTTATATTAGGTACTTTATATTATTATTTAAAAATAATATTTACTTTTACTGGCATTTACTTTAAAAATATAAGAGAATTGGCATAAACAAAATACAAACATCGTTATCTTTTTTTTTAAATTGGCACGTGTAAAACTTTCAATTTAATTATCTCACCCCATAGTTTGAGTTCGATAACCCCCCATTTACTTAACCACATTACTTAAATATGATTATTAAGTTCAACTAAGTCATATTATTATAACATCCAAAATACAAATATGTATTTTTAAAATTAATTGTAAGTTCATCTCATCTCTCTTAAAAATTGCTACTTCTCAAAATTTCCCATTAAAAAATAGACCATATATCATATAAAATTAAATAATTGAAGATCGGACTACGGAAAACCACACAACTTTTCGGAAAAATTTTGACCACCTGCACATGCACACAATCGTCAATAAATAAAATTAAAAAATAACTACTATTTTAGTATTTTAACTATTTTAGTAAACGCAAAAATAGCACAGTATTTATACGGTGAAGTTATAAAAATTTGGAAGAACTAATAATGCACTGACGCATACAAAAATCAAACGAATACTAAATTTCATTTATCAAAAGCATTCGATAGTCGTGGCTCAACGATAACAATTTAGTCGCACGGCGAGGTTGTCACATATGCTTTAGTATACAAATGAATGAATGATTCTATTCGAATAAAACCATTCGATAGTTGAAATCATTCATTCATTAACCATTCGATAGTCTAATTCATTCGATAGTTCCCATCGCTACCTTGGAGGGCTTTCCCACACGCCGGCAAACTCGGTGCCGGTGCCGGAGCTGAAATCGATTGCAATATAAATAAATTATCTCCCTCACATATACCCTGATCCGGGAAAATATCCGGGGACAAATAGCTGGCAAATACAATAGAATTAAATACAACTGTCGGAACGGCTGCAAAGCCGGTGCCGACTCCGGTTTTGCCGGTGTGTGCAACCGCTCTTATCATGGCATAATTATACTGTATCTATTACGTACAGGGTGGGTCAAATTGGACGCTTTTAAAGGGAAACACCTTTTTCTATAGGAGATAGACGAAAACTAATAACGATGTCTGGAGCTCAATTTTTATCAAAAACATGACGGTGAAAACCGCACATCGATATGTTACCATGTTACCGTGTCGGAGTTACGGGGCGAAAAAAATATACTTAAACCATTAAATTCTACGTAAAAAGTTGTGCATTTTTAACAAATCGCTGTAACTTTTTTGCTATGGAAAATTTTCTATTTTTGTGAAAACATTTTCAAAGCACCTATTTACCTAGAATTTAATGGTTTAAGTATAATTTTTTTTAAATTAATAATTTAAGAGTTATCAACAAAAAAAATGATTTTTTATTTGGGACATCCTGTATATTTTTAATTAGCTGAAATGCACTTAAAATTACCTTTCCAAAAATATAGCACACTTGATATTTTGTTATAGCCCCCTTCGAAATACAGAATTTTTAAAAGTTTGGCACTTTTAACTAGTAGGCTTTGGACCCCTTATTGATGATCTGCCCCTAATGGAACTCGAAAACATATTTTTCCAACAAGACGAGGCACCGTCTCAGAATGCTGAAGTTATCAGCAAATTTTTGCGGCCAATTTCGAGAGTAATTGAATAGCTAACCAAGATCCCAGCCGTTGGCCGTCGACGCCGCCGGACTTAGAGCCTATGGATTTTATCTTAGCCGAAGAATCAAGGTTCTTCTTTTTAAATTGTTTATACGGGCAATAGACAAGAATTAGAAGTACTTAGCGGTTATGCGAGGGTATCTTTCACCCCTACTGAGTTAATGAATTCCACGAGAAATGTTCAAAAACGGTCCCGTCTTTCCATAACAGAAGACGGTCGATATGTCGAACGCCTGTAGCAAAATCTCATATCTTGGTTTGCTATTAATTTTTATTCTTATCAGATATAGTTTAAATACGTTGATGATGTTAAATATAGTATAAATTGTTATAAAATACTGCATCTCTCATTGCAAATATTATTTGCGTTTTAATTCCTGCTCACAGCTAGAATTTTTTTGCATTGCAACATTTTTGCGTTCAAAGCCTACTTATTCAAAGTTTTTTAGACGAGTTTTTAAAAACTCTATATTGCGAAGAACACCCGAGCAAAATATCAAGTGTGCTATATTTTTGGAAAGGTAATTTTATATTATTTTCAATAAATTAAAAATATACAGGGTGTCCCATATAAAAAAAACCAAATTTTCTGTTGGTAATTCTTAAATTATTAATTTAAAAAAAATATACTTAAACCATTAAATTCTACGTAAAAAGGTGCTTTGGAAATGTTTTCACAAAAATACAAAATTTTCCGTAGCAAAAAAGGTACAGCGATTTGTTTAAAATGCACATTTTTGAAAACACCCCGTAACTCTGAAACGGTGATAGCTCCAGGTACCGATATTAGTTTTCGTCTATCTCCTACAGAAAAGGGTGTTTCCCTTTAAAAACATCCAATTTGACCCACCCTGTACATTTTCTTAACGTCTTAATATATTATTTTACAGACTAAAAGAATACCAAGGACACGTAACGCTCATAGACGGGTTGGAAGAGAATTTGTCAATTTGTGTTGTTAGACGCCATTTTTTGGAGACAGCGGATGTATCACTAGCGACAATTTTACCAATTTTTAATAGTTTGTTCTCTGGTTTGTTGTGTGTAGTGAACTTTTTATAAACTTTATTACAATGGTGATTTGTTCAGCTTTCAAGTGCAAAAGCCGCAACGATAAGAAAGAGCCAGGAGTTACGTTTCACAGGTATAACATTTATAGTTATCAGGAATTGCATTTTTTTCAAATTAATTTTCCCCCACCTTCTTCCACATGTAAAAAACTGGTCATTAATGATTTAACAAACGAAACATATTATAAACATTACATAATATAAACTCACTTTGAAATGCTTTCACATTCATAGCTTAAGAGAAGTTTTCTTAACAGCATTTACGATTTTCCATCTTTTTCGGCACGTACAGAAACATTTTATTACAGTTACTGGTAAATGTTATCCAATAATGGAAGAATAATTAATTTTTTAACATTATTAAAAATAGTTTAAATGCAAATTTAATTTAAAATCAAAAATAAATAATTGTAAACAATGTGATTTTGACATTGAATAAGCAGCAATGCTGCTAACATCATAAAATTCACCACAAAGTTTATTTCGAGACGAAAACCAGCCAATCATATTGGCGAGGGCTACATACGTCATCGCAGCGCGCGTAAATGTGAAATTCAAACTTTTAACCCATTTTTTGGCCTAATATTAAGTTTTATATAAATAAGGCTAAGTAGCAAGCACTAATTAGGTTGAAATCTGCATAATTACGTGGAAATTGAAAAACATGAAACATGCCTAGTCTGTTAACTTTCGAATTTAGTTGACATTTGGTTCCATTTACAAATAATTTAAAAATTGAGATAAAAAATTTAATAATACATTTTATTCTAAAAAGCAGACATTTAAACTAAATTAAAAACCATCGAATAATAACTTTAAAAAAGTATTTGTAAAACAATTAAAATTCCAATTTTTATTTAATTCTGCATTTTTTATATTAACCTTCTGGCACGGCACTGTTTGGGGACATGGTCTCGGGCTTAGACAAGGAAAGAGAGGGGACGGATAACCTCGTATTCTGCCAGTGACTCAGTTTTGTGCCGATTTTCGATGCGACGCCATATTGTTGGTCCAATAGAACCAAACGTATTTTGTGTGATTAAAAGTGAATATTGAATTAAAGACTGATATTTTATAGTGGAAAACAATGGTTGGTTGTGCAGCCTACGGCTGCAATAGCAGTAGTTATAGGAAGGAGCCGGGAATTACGTTTCACAGGTAAAAACTTATCCGTTGTTCTTAGCCCTGGTCTAATTTTTATAAAATATCTTACAGAATAGTTAATATATCGATTTAATTTAAAGGCAGTAGTTTAAGCTTGTATTAAGTAAACTATTTTTCTTTGTGTGAACAGTGCTTTTGAATATTTTCATTCATAATTATTTAGTTAATTTGTCAACTTTGATTAAACAAGAACTTTTCACCAGTGGCGTGGATATTTTTAATGGTAGAATTACATTATAATTTTTCCTATCGATGTTAATTATGTCGAAATAATAGTATTGTAGTTTTAATTTTATTAAATATTGCTAATTTTCTTTCGTTTAAGATTTCCTTTGAAAAATGAGAAGCTACTCTCAATTTGGGTGAGAAACATGCATCTTACAGATTTTAAACCGACAGCAAGTGATAGGCTTGGTTCAAAGCATTTTGAACAAAAATATTTTTATCGTACTGACAGCAACAAAACTTATCTACTCGGTGAAGCCATACCCATTAAGTTCGAGGCATTGCCAAAATATCTTCAACCAAAGTCAACACCAAAGCGAGTAAGTGGATCCTTTTCTCATTTTTAAGGTTATTGATTTTTTTTTTAATTAGGCTACCAAAAGAAGTAGAGAAAATATTGAAGTACCTTCTACATCAGCTGAAGTAATTTCTCAAAGTCCAGAGGAAACCCCAAGAAAAAAAGGCTTCGAAGGAAATTATTTCATGCAGTGCAGAAATCCTCTAAGAAGTCCCAGAAAGTTAAGGTTCTTAAGCAAAAGGTCAAGAGGTATAAAAGAAAAATAATAGCTCTATCACAAATTGTGAAAGAACTGACAAACAAAAACATATTATCACAGGAACATTCCAATGTAGTTAATAATATGCCAGGTGTTAGCAAAGAAATACTTAGGCGGACCTTGGGAAAGAAATCCAAGTACTCTCCCGAATTAAGAAGGTTTGCAATTACGTTATGTTTCTTTTCACGAAAGGCCTATGACTATGTTAAGTAAAGCATTTGATAGTTGTTTGCCTCATCGAAGCACAATTGGCAAATGGTTTATGAATGTTGATGGGAACCGGGCTTTACAAAGAAGCATTTAATATTTTAAAAGTGCATGTTCTGTCTTCAACTAAACCTATTTATCTATGTTTAATTATTGACGAAATGTCAATTCGTAAATATGTAGAGTGGGATGGTAAGAAATTCCATGGTTACGTTAACCATGGTGTGGATCTGCAGGATGACGGGAATGCCATGGCAAAAGAGGCATTTGTTTTATTGATATCCTGTATTAACGGAAGATGGAAGTTGCCAGTGGGATATTTTTTTACGGATGGTTTAAATGGTAACCAAAAAAGTGCTCTTGTAACGCAATGCATAAAACTGCTTCGTGAAACTGGGGCGTTTGTTACCTCATTAACTTTTGATGGGGCTCCTTCAAATATTAGTATGGCCCATATTTTAGGGTGTAAAACCGATTTTCAAACGTTAAAACCATATTTTAACATAGGCGATAGCCATAATATTTACATTTTTTATGACTACTGCCATATGTTAAAACTGGTTAGGAACGCATTTGGTGAAAGAAAAAGCTTCATTGATAATAGTGGGCAGCTTGTTAAATGGGAGTTTCTGGAAGAACTTAATAAATTACAAAATTGTGAAGGTTTACATTTAGGCAATAAACTTCGCACAGCCCACCTTAATTTTTTTAAACAAAAAATGAAGGTGAAACTGGCTGTACAGTTACTGAGTAACTCAGTTGCTGATGCGTTATCCTTTTGCGAAGATGTTCTAGGGCTCGATGAGTTCAGAGGTTGTCAGGCAACAAGCAATTTTATTAAAATGTTTAATAATATTTTTGATGTTCTTAACAGTAGGTCACTGGTGCCTCCTCAATTTAAAAAGGCTCTTTGTGAGAAAAACTTGAATTTAACATCAAAGTTTATTGATGAAGCCATTAATTATATAGCTCAATTAAAATTTTCTGATGGTGAGCTAGTTATAACATCAAAAAGGAAAACAGGATTTTTGGGGTTAATAATTTGCCTTAAAAGTACGTTGCTTTTATATTATGACCTCATAACAGAAAAACAATCGCTAATTTATCTTCCAATGTATAAAATGAGCCAAGACCACTTGGAGCTTTTTTTTTCTTCAGTGCGTTCTAGAGGTGGATGGAACAACAATCCAACCAGTAGGCAATTTTCCGCGGCCTATAAAAGATTATTAGTACGCGCAGAAATTCGGGATGGCGGACTAGGAAATTGTATCCCCCTTGAAGATATACCAATTTTAGTAGGGCCTTCAAGATACAAAAACCCTGACTTAAATATTAACCTAAACGAGACAAGGTCCAGGCTTCAAGATAATGAAGATAGCATACTATCGGAATACCAACTACAATTAATTTGGACTGATCATGAATACATCATGAATCCAAATGTTATTAGTAATTGTTCAGTCCAAATTGTGACTTATATTGCTGGATTCGTAGCACATCAAATGCTGAAATCCATTAAATGTGTTGAATGTTTAGAATCTTTAACGAGTAATAAAAATAGTTTCTTAAATTCACTAATAGCAAAGAAAAACCGTGGTGGTCTTACATATCCATGTAAAGATATTGTCGAAATATGCAAAATTACCGAGCATTTTTTGCGTATTGATGAAAAAAAATTGTCTACAAAATTTTTTATAGATTTCTTAAAAAGTAAGGTAATGTTTGTATGCCTTCAAAATAATTATTTTTCAAAATTACAGGACCACATTTTAAACACCAACTCGAATCATATATATTTTCTAATTGAATCTATAATTATAAAATATGTTAATATCCGAATACATTTTATTACTAAGAGGAAATCGGAAATTTCGGATCCAGTTAGGAATTATTTGACAAAAACAATATTATTCAAAGGTCAATAGGTTGTATTTTTATAAGTTTTTATGTATTTTTTAGTTTATAATTTCATAACTGTTATATTAAATATTAATATAAATAAAATGTAAAAATATTTTTGGTTTTATTCCATTGATTTCTTATATCTAATACACCATTTGATTAATATTTAAAACTATTGACAAATACACATTGTCAACAATCCGCTTTATAAATCAATTTCTTACAATACTCAAATTTTACTAAATAACGCGAAATTAATTTAATTAAGAACTTCCAACCCTAATGATACGCCCATGGCGCAATTTCACAGAACTCGTTTGGTTCAAATTTGCTTCGCTTTCGACGCTCTGTTACGCGTCCTCTCTCTTTCCTTGTCTAAGGTCTCGGGAGTTATTGGACCTTGTATTCTTTAGTCATTGGTTTTAATACATTTTTTTTATAATTACGTGACATGTAACCACCTAAAAAAATATAATACTTCCTTTGAATAAGAAGACTAAGGAAGGAGCATATCAAATATCTTAGGTACACCGCGATGGGCCTCAAATATGGCCGACTTAAATTCCGGTTTAACAGTGTCGTTCTAATTTTATTTAAAAAATGTAAAAGTATGATGTAGGGTAGACGTGGGGTAGACTCACTAATTTGTTGTTTTATTTTACGATGTGAATAAATGTTGGTAGTTATTAAAATTGTTATAAAAATATATAATTCTAATAAAAATAGATAAGTTATAATAAGTATTTATTAACACAAACATCCGATACGCTACTGAAGCAGGTAAGTCAAATTAACGTATCAAAATTCTTTGACATCTGATCTTTGACAAGTAGTGAATAAAAGCTAAAATGCAAGAAAATATATAATTTAGTTAATTTAAGTGAATTTCATAAATGATCGGTTTACTACATGTATGTATATTATATAGTCACTTACTAGCGAAAAGTTGTTCCATTATTTCACTCAATTTTTTCCGAGATCTACCGCACGCTACACAACCAACTATTTTAGAGTTTTTTTCGATAAATCGCGATAATGTCACTGTTAATTTAAGTTCTGCCACAATTTCCATCTAGATTTACTACCTTTATACAACTATCAGTAGTAGAATAAATAATAAATAACATAAAATAAGCTCCGTAAAGACTGACAAATCCACAAAATTTCAAATCAAATTCAAATGTGTCAAATGAATCGTCAAACAGAACTGTCAAGGATCCCCACCCTAGAGTGCTTTTATCAATGACTAAAGAATACGAGGACATGTAACGGCCATATACGGGCTGCAGCAAAATTTGTGACCTTTAGACGCCATTTTTTTGGACATAACGGATCAATCATCAGCGACAATTTAGCGATTTTTAATAGTTGGTTGTGTGTAGTGAACTTTGTATAAACTCTATTACAATTTCAAGTGTAAAAGGCGCAATGATAAGAAAGATCCAGGAGTTACGTTTTATAGGGAAATAAACAGTCCACTACACCTTTTTAGCGTATTTTTATTGAATTCGATAATTATTTTTCTAATATTATATGTACTTGATATGTGCTATACGTCGATATACTAGTTTTGTACCTTTTGTTAACATTTTAATACGTTTTTTTCGTAATTAATTAGTATGATACCACAGGACACACCAGAGGCGTAGTGAAAATATTTACCAAAAATATAAATATCGCTCCAATCGGCTATGTTAAGAAAAATATGTGCCACGGCACTGTTTGGAAGAATGGTCACAGTTTGGTTTCGGTTGCTATTTGTCTTTGAATAAGAAGACTAAGGAAGGAGCATAATGCTATCCATGTATTCATGCATGGTGGGCGGAAAAAGCGCCATAAAAGCTCTCTAGGGTGGGGATCTTTGACAGTTCTGTTTGACGATTCATTTGACACATTTGAATTTGATTTGAAATTTTGTGGATTTGTCAGTCTTTACGGAGCTTATTTTATGTTATTTATTATTTATTCTACTACTGATAGTTGTATAAAGGTAGTAAATCTAGATGGAAATTGTGGCAGCACTTAAATTAACAGTGACACTATCGCGATTTATCGAAAAGACTCTAAAATAGTTGGTTGTGTAGCGTGCGGTAGATCTCGGCAAAAATTGAGTGAAATGATGGAACAACTTTTCGCTAGTAAGTGACTATATAATATACATACGTGTAGTAAACCGATCATTTATGAAATTCACTTAAATTAACTAAATTATATATTTTTCTTGCATTTTAGCTTTTATTTATTACTTGTCAAAAATTAGATGTCAAAGAATTTAGATACGTTAATTTGACTTACCTGCTTCAGTAGCGTATCGGATGTTTGTGGTAATAAATACTTATTATAACTTATCTATTTTTATTAGAATTATATATTTTATAACAATTTTAATAACTACCAACATTTATTCACAACGTAAAATAAAACAACAAATTATTGAGTCTACCCCACGTCTACCCTACATCATAGTTTTACATTTTTTAAATAAAATTAGAACGACACTGATAAACCGGAATTTAAATCGGCCATATTTGAGGCCCATCGCGGTGTACCTAAGATTTTTGATATGCTCCTTCCTTAGTCTTCTTATTCAAAGCTATTTGTCCTTGTATTCTTTAGTCATTGGCTTTTTTGGTGCTTTTTCCGCCCACCATGCATGAATACATGGATAGCATTATGCTCCTTCCTAAGAATACTTCCCATAGGCGTAGGCTCAAACTTAATATTTTTATTTTTTTTAATAAATAACCATTATTTATGACATCTACTTCAATTAGAAATACCCACACCTTTAGATTATTTAAATATTAGGTTTAAATTATTTATTTTAAAAAGGGATTATTATTAAAAATGTTCTACAAATTTTAGATTTCCAAAAGATCCTGAAAGACGAAAACGTTGGGTTTTAGAAATGAGACTTGCACATTGGACTCCTACGAATAATGATAGAGTTTGTTCTAAACATTTCGAGGAAAGATGGTTTTATAAATGTGATACGAAGAGGCGGCTGCTGGATCTAGCAGTACCCACAATTTTTCCCGAATTTCCTAAATATTTGCAAAAAAAGAAGGTATCTATAATTATATAGATATTAGAATAATTAAATGTTAGCTATGCTAGATATATTCTTCTAGACTCCAGAGAGGTCATCAATGACTAGTTCTCGACGTTTAGTAAAATCTTTACCATCAACCTCTCATGATAGTGAAAGTGAAATGATAGAAGAAGCCAGTCCTAGTAGGGTAAGTTTATGTCTTGAAGAACAAGAAACAAATCTATAGAGGAAATTATTTTAGTAGGGATTAATCAAAAGAGAAAATTTAAAAAATTACAGTTCTGATTCAAAACTTAACTCATAGTAAAATAATTTTGGACTTCCATTGTCATTAATTATTTTCGTTTATATAAATTATATAAAATATTTAATAAAAATCGATTGGTCAGTAATTGGCTACTTTACCTTACTGTTAATGAGTAAAAAAAATCGGTACCGAAAGTACCGAAAGAACCGGGAAATTTCGAGTCCCAGTTCTTTGATGCCTCAAAAGAACCGGGAATTCTCGGTACTTTTGGTACCGGGATTTCCCGGTTCTGAACCCTAGTAGGGCCTGGCCGAATTTATTAAATTAGAAAAATCCTGTCGATAACCCTTTATGGTTTGAAAACGTGTAAATGAAATCACGTGGCTTGATACAGTTTGTTTATATAGTCTATAAAATGAATTTTGACCGTTATTTTTTACCAACAGGGCAAATATAAAATACCTCTATCAAAAAAGTTACTGATATTCTTTAAATTGAGTGCCTGAACGAATCAGATAGGTAACTCTTTTTACTTTCGTGAAATAGAAAAAGAAAATAATAAAACAAGTGACAGTTCTTCTCTTCTTGCAAAAATCAACACAATCGTCAAAAGTAAAATGTCATCAGCTTTTGACATTTCTAAATATAAGACCAATGCCGTCTCTAATAGAACAGCCTCGGAGCGAGATTTATGACGTCAGGCTAGTTAGATACTACGAATTAATAAATATTCTGTAGAATACATGGAAAACATAATAATTCCTCGTATTTTTGGTTTGTATTTTAAAAATGATACAGTTTTCATGAAATATACATAATATACAGTTAATTAATACAATATATATACCTATTTATAGTAATAAATACTTTGGCAAATTAACTATGAATATAATGGTGGATTCATGCTTCCGATCTTAGCCCTAACACTAACATTAGCCCTAACCCTAAGAATATGAATCGACGTTAAGGAACGCTAGCGTTCATGCTTCCGTTGTATCGGTCCTAACATTAGCCTTAGTCCTAACAGGTTGGGATATTTTATATTCTTAGGGCTAATGCTAATTCAAAACTGAATCGCGCATGCTCAAAACTAGGGGTTTTAAGAATTCTCGAAATAACATTGACATGTTGAATATGACGGTTTATAAATGTTAATAAATAAAGTATTTTTTGATTTAGAAATTATTAATGTAAAAATTAGTTTCTGTAGTATTAGAAATTTAAATAATAATTGTGAATTTAGGTTAGTTCAAAACATATGTTTTAAATGAGCGCAAGCGCCTACGAGAATATTGATTATTTTGTTAAGGCAAGTAGGAGAAGTATAAACGGCATTTCCTTAAGTTCTCAAGGTTAATTTCTTAGGGTTAATGTTAAGGGTAAGGTTAGGGCTAATACTCGAAGTATGAACCCACCATAATACAATATAAATATAAATGCAGCAAATGTTTTACAATATACAAATAATGAATAGGTACATAAGATAATGGGTAAAATGTAAAATATATTTTGTATTATTATTTGCATTCACAAAATGTATATGTATATTTTGCAAGTATCAATGTTCGAAATATTATATTTGCAAATAATACAATATCATAGAAAAAGAGGCGTCAGCGATGGCTATGAAATAAAGATCGCTGTCATTTTATATGTAAAATTATTCTAAAATTTTTGATTTTCTTGGGATTTAGGTTCGGGAAAAACGCTGATTGAGTTTTCATTTGTTTTTTCATTTTTTTTTTGGTTTAAAAAAAGTGGTTTAAAAAAAACATCATAGCCTTTATTAGTGTTGTCATATGAAAAAAATAGTGTCGAATATAATCCAAAAAATTACATATAAAATATTCACACCACACACCACATAATGTTTACTGTAATTAATAAACTAATATAAACTTGTCAAAAGCTGACCACGCATTTTTTAAAATGATTATTCTTAACACTAAAACTATCTACATTGACTATGAAGTACGATTTCAGTCATAGTAAGCAGTAGACATGAATGTTGTTTGTTAAATTAGATCGATTTTCAAACTCCAAAATTTAATATATATTTTACACTTTACCCATTATCTTATGTACCTATTCATTATTTGTATATTGTAAAACATTTGCTGCATTTGTATGGTTCATAGTTTATTTGCGAAAGTATTTATTACTATAAATAGGTATATATATTGTATTTATTAATTGTATATTATGCATATTTCATGTAAACTATATCATTTTTAAAATACAAACCAAAAATACGAGGAATTATTATGTTTTCCATGTATTTTACAACATATTTATTAATCCCTAGTATTTAACTAGCGTGACGTCATAAATCTCGCTCCGAGGCTGTTCTATTAGAGACGGCATTGCGTCAGCATGGCCGCAAGTTGCTAACCATAGAGAAAGTTAATAGTTTAGAGAGTGGTAAATCGCGTGGTAAAATGTTGGGAGATTGCGCTTTTGGCGCCCTCTAGTTGGCTACAGGAACGAACTATGAAAGAGCGGGAGATTTAAATTAATATTATACTTATTATTTTTAAGGCAATTAAAACTAAGAGTGCCCTTAACCAAAAACAGTGAAATAAATGGAGATACCTACTCAAATTTTATATTATCATGATATTAAAGGATATAAATACAGCATTTATAATCCTTATACACCTTTTTATTCAAAGTCTTACACGCTAATATAAAATTTGACTATCTCCATTTATTTCACTAACCCTGGTTAGGGCACTCTTAATTTTAATTTTCCTTTTTTTATGGGAAAACGATTAAATGGGAAGAATTGAATGGGAATGGAAAGAATGACCAATTATTGTATTTTGTATTAATTTCTAATACCCCTATTCTACTAAATATCTAGCTACATTGTACTTACAGTTAAATAGCTACATTGTACTAGTTATATACATATTTACAGTTTTATGATGGCTATTATTTCTTTTCATCGTGCTATCAACTGATTCGCTCCGACTTGAGTACTATACCTCGAGATGGCTCCAGGAATTATTTATCTTTACAGGCCTAGAATATGAAGATTCACAGTAATTTTTGGTTTTACTGCCTATTAGAAACAAACCTTTTAAGGGACAAACCTTGTTCTCGGCCATGATATTCCTTCCATTCTATATCCAACGTCCAACTTAGCAGACCTTCTGGTTCACAACAGGGCCTAGACTGGCCGGATGATATTTTAACAGAATAGCCCTTGATATCTCTTTCACACTTTCATTTAATAATTAAATAGGAGGGTTGGATGGTATAATTTCTAGAAAGAATAGCCTGTGAAATAAAAACTTCTGCATGGACATTACCTTTCTTACCTTTGTCTGCTATTTTTTAATAAAAAACAACTGTTTAGTTTGCACAAAAGTAAAATTTACAATCAAAAATTTCTTAAAAAATGATCAAGCCTTGTACTACGCCCAACTACGCCGTGTGCCGGTTTTTGAACAAACAAAAGAATGAGGTTAGCGGCGTTGCCAATGTCAATTTTCTAAACTACCCAAAAATCTAAATTAAATTCGCCAATTTGTGGAGAAAAATGTCCCGATTCACCAAAAATTCGCCATATGATTATTTTAACAAAAAAAAAATTTAATAAAAATACAATATTTATTATATATGTTAGAGGGATTAAACTGTAAATTACCTCCTTGTTTTTTAATCCCTTCCCTAATAGTCATTAAATAATTTGAGGTCACTAAATTTTCTTTCAACTGAAGCATTTGCAAAGGGAAGCACAAGTAAAAAGCAGATTATAATTTTTAAGTTGGGAAAGATATATCATCCCGCTCCGTTTTTAAAGCTAAAAATTTTACGCCATTTTCAATCAGCAATAAAATATTGAAACTCCCCTTATTTTCGCCGCCTATTGCTAATCCCCACAAAATTCCCAATCGGCTCCGAATTCCCCAAAATTTGGGGAATTCCCCACAAATTGGCAACGCTAGAGGTTAGCGTGTTCTTTCTGAATATGCTAAGACTAACGGACTAGTGTCGAAACACAGATAGGTAGATGGACGTATTTCGACACTGGCGTCGATGCGCTACAGGAACATTTGCCTGCGCGTCGTATGTCTTCTGGCAGTCTTTTAATTTTTCTGTTTGTCTATGTTGCTAACCTCATAAAATTAATACTAGAAAAGCCCGCGGGAACTGTCAAATTCAAAGTTATTCGTTTCACAGACTATATTTATATTTTTGATATTATTACATGCTGTTGAAATGTAGTTTTCATAATACTGTACGCAATAATCAACTATCGATCTCTAATAAGAATGTTCTTCTCTAATAAGATATTACTTATTACGTCAAAACTGACACTTATTTGACAGCGACCACACTTGACAGAATAAAAAACCAATGTCAAATTTATTTAAATTTTGAAATAAAGTAAAAATCGTTTTTGATTTTGTCAAGCTCATTATTTTCTTATTTGAAAAATTGCAATACATTGCGTGAGGAGTACACTCAATACCACAGGGAGATGTATAGGTAAGAAATTTTGAATTCCAACCACTTTATTTTAATAGACGCAAACTCTCAGTAAGATAAATATTGGGTAGAGATTGGCTTGTGTTGACAAGGTATGACTTAAAATCGAGCAAAAACAATTTATTACACTCAAAACAGACGTATTCGTTCGTTATTAGAGTTATTAAGTAGAGATGTAGTAATGTATGCTATACATAAAGTTATAATTAAACTTAAAACCGGTTTAAAGGGGTGTTTTTTATTATAGAGTTATTTGTTATGTGAATATTGAAATAGTAAATTAATCATAATATGGCACCAACTAATATTTCTGCACTTCATAATACAGGGTATTTTGTTCACACCTTTTCTGAAATTTTCACCCCTTTTCAGCAATTTTTACTTGTTAATTCAGAACATTTCATTTCTTGTTCTCAGAAGAATAAATAGAAATATAAGCCATTTAGGAAGTGGCAATGTGACATCCCTTTTAGTGCCGTAACCATGGTAATATCAGAGATTAAAAAATTAGACCGTGGGAAAATTTACGGTGAGCAGGCAGTTTTCGAAAAATATACAAGGAAATTTAAAAGAAGATGCATGATTTTCAACGCCTTTTTTGCGAAAACCCTCATAGACGTGTTTCTGGGATCGAAATATACCACCCCTGAAAATATTTGAACTTATTTAAGACTCATCCTGTATAGATTATGGATCTGTAAATATGGTCTAGTCAGCTATATTTTGCGCAAAAAAACTAATTTTAAGATAATTTTGATTTAATTCTTTTACTCACTTGGGTGCTGATAAATCTTAGGTTTCTAACTATAATATTCAAATTATTATATATTCTTCTTTATAAATGAAAATTTGTTTCTAGGCTACTCGGAGGTCTTCTACAACTAGTTCTGAACTTTTCGGAGAACCTGTACCATCAGTATCTAATGATAGTGACAGTGAATTAGAAGAGAAAGCCCTTCCTAGTAAGGAATGTTTCTGCTTTAAGCCTCAAGGAGCAGAGAGTTCTCTACGGAATAAATTGTTTCAGCTAGAACTAAGATCTCGAGAAAAAAGTAAAAAAATTAGGGTTCTCAATCAAAAAGTTAGACGTTATAAGGAAACAATTAATACTTTAAAAACTCGTCTAAAAATATTAGATAAAAGTGATTCACTGACAGCGGAAACTATATTGATTGAAATTGTTTAAGTAATTGTTAAGTAAAATATGTGTACATAGATATTACTTGTAATTAAAATTTATATTTGGCTATCTTTTAAAATTTTTGTAATTAAATGTTTATATCCTTTATTTACCCATGGGCGCCGGAAGAATGAAATTTGGGGGTGGGGGGGCAAGGTAAAAATGAATAAAAAATTGAAACACATTTTTGGTAATTATTGGGAAAACTGGAAATCGTACGATTTTCACCAAAATTGGTATACACCCTATTTTGAAGTCGTAGACTACGAATCGGAACTTTTTCCTTTCGGCGTCTCTCAGAAAAACGGAAAATAATTCAATATCGAATTTTTCTTAATTTCTCATATTTTTAAGGTTTTCTAGCACATATTTTGTTAGGTATTCAATAATCAATGGTGTTTTTGCTATTTTCTGTTGCTTTTTTAACCAATTTTATGTATAATAGAGGAAAATTTGCTAAAATAAATTTGTAAACAATCTGAAAATGTTAGGTTATAGCTTTGTTCGGGTTCTTGTTATTACCAATTCTGAACCGTCCTAGAACTCTGCAGCGTATGCGCAAATGAAATAATGTCTTCATACTTCCTTCTGCGCGTACGCATCACAGTTCTAGGACGGTTCAGAATCGGTAATAAGAGAAACCCGAAGTAAGCTTATCTGTTTCTGGCATTTAAAGCAATGTTGCTAAACGTAAATTTAGCGTGCTTTTTTCGCTCATTCTGGAATTACGAAAGGGGGTCGCCAGAAGAACGGCTCCTTCCCTTAAGTGCTATTTTACCAACGAGATCTGACTATTTATACCCACGAAGTTGCACGAAAGAGTTTTGATTGCATTGGTTACAACTTCCATGCGGAGGGTGTTAATCTTTTGTTGTTATATTATATCAAAAAAAATTAACCCCCTCCGCAAAGAAGTTAAAACCAATGCAATCAAAACTCTTCCGCGTAACTTTGTGGATATAGGTGTATATTTAATTATTGTCGATCTCATAATAGGTAATTTATTTAATATCCCTAATCACCCGAAAAAATAGAAGATATGGCAACGTTGTAAATTTTCAAAATTCTAGATTAGGTCTAGAATATATTTGTCTCTCTCATTACATAGGAGAGAGAAAGAAGGATATATCAAATGTCAAACTTCCATCTGGTCTCAATTTTCTTTGTTATTTTGTTAAGAAAAGTGTTTTTCAGTAAAATATTGAACATTTTTCTATCCCCAATCAAGTGTGGCTTTTAGATAAACTATAATATAATGAAAATATAGTGAAATTATTACTTTATAGGGCCGAAATAAAGAAAAATTCAATGTTGAAATAATTTTCCGTTTTTCTGAAAAACGGTAAGAGGCCGCCAAGAAAAAAATAGATTCGTAATCTACGACCTCAAAATAGTGTGTATAATATTTTGGTGAAAATCGGCCGATTTCCAGTTTTCCCAATAATTACCACATTTTTTATTATTTTACAGGTAACACCTAAATATTTCATAATAATGATTATTTTTTTACAGATGGATGTAAGAAGATAATTTTTATTTTTATTGTTTCGGTGATCCAGGTGGGGGCAAATGCCCCCCCTGTCCGGCGCCCATGTTCAACCTTTTGAATAATACCGCATTATCCAAAAAAGTAAAGTTGACTTGGAAATGTCGATTGTTAATATTTTATATGTAAAATTATACAGGATGGCGCACCTCATTCGCCTCGGTTGCTAATACGAAAACGGAAAGATGTAGAAACTAAGGTAGAAACAAACTTTTTTATGGGTATACAGGGTGTCCCAGGCTGAGCGTTCATTAGAAGTTTCGAGAGAACCACAATATCTACGAGATCGATCGATTAAAAATATTTTCAATATGGCGGCTCTTCCGGAAATACCGGAAGTTGACAGCAACTTTCTTATTTTAAATGGGTGCCCCCATTTTTTATTGCATACTTAAATTCTTTGTAAAATTTAATGAATTTTGATATTAAACACTCTATACCTAAGATTAACCGTTTTTGAGAAAAAAAATATTTAAAATTTTTGGACGAAAAAAACTGCCTGTCAAAGATCTGTGTATAGCCTTAACGTCAAATTCAGTGATTACCGCAGCCACTGTGCCATAAAGAGAAGACATATGGCTATCTATTTCAAAAATTAAACTGTTCGAATGTCATATAATAATGACCGCAGCTGTCATGGAATTGAGCGATTAAAAAATTAGTATAATTCATTTTTTTCAAATGGAAACCTACTTTTTTTATTTCACTAGTGAAAAGATTTTTCAAATCGTTATTTTTTAATAATACATGTTCCTATATCTAAAATAAATAGTTTTTAAGTTATTTAATATTTAATTTCAAAACGTATATTTTTCTTGATTTTATCTAGCTTCTTTTGACATTAAGTGTCAACACAGTGTCAAACAGTCAGACAATTATTTCCATCTATCAGAAAACGAATTATTTGAATTTCCTACATTATAAATACTGCCTGCTTAAGAGTATTTATAAATATATATCTCGTATTTTCGCTCTTTAGTATTATTAATAATATCTAATAGTCGATATTATTAATAATATTCCGTATGATCGAAAAAACAGCGCAAGTTGGCTTGGAAATGATGATCGATAACATGCTGCATTTTGAACAAAGTGTCACAATGTGACATGGCCAGATCTAATGTTTTTCATCGCTTGACGACATAGGCTACTGGTTCAAATCAAGAAAAATATAGGCTTTAAAACTAAATCTTAAATAACTTAAAAACGAATTATTTTAGGTATAGGAACATGTATAGTCAGAAAGTAACGAATTGAAAAACCTTTTCACTAGTGAAATAAAAAAAGTTGGTTTCCATTTGAAAAAATAATTTTTTAATCGCTCAATTCCATGACAGCTACCGCCATTATTATATGTCATTTGAATAATATAATTTTTGAAATAGATAGCCACATGTCTTCTCTTTATGTCACAGTGGCTGTGGTAATCACTAAATTTGACTTTTAGGCTATACAAATTTTTTTGACAGGTAGTTTTTTTCGTCTAAAAAATTTAAATAATTTTTTTCTCAAAAACGGTTAATGTTAGATATAGAGTGTTTAACATCAATATTCATAGAATTTTACAGAGAAGAGAATTTAAGTATGTAATAAAAAATGGGGGCACCCATTTAAAATAAGAAAGTAACTGTCAACAGTGCCGCCATATTGAAAATATTTTTAATCAATAGATATCTCATTCTAAAACAATGATGTGCAAAAAATCCCCGAACTAGACATTGTGGTTCTCTAGAAACTTCTAATGCACGCTCAGCCTGGGACACCCTGTATATAGAGAGGCAATGTGCATAATATATAAAATAATTTTAAAATTACGTGCCGTAGGATCTGGTGGGGTGAAAGTGGCATACGGAGGCATGCAATAGCGAGACACAGAGTTTGAGCGCTCTGCTTGGCGAGCCGACTGGGCGTGGCCGGATTTGCGGGGAGGCCTGGTGCCCCCGCCTGGCCCTGTCCGGCCTGGACTTGAGCCTGGCTGGGCTCTAGCAAAATTGGCGGCTTTTTAGAATAAAGTGTCTGAAAAAGCCTACTATGTTGGAGCGAAACGTCGCATAAAAAAAGTTTCCATCTTTCAATTTAATAAAAAAACCTCATATATATAGGATCCTATATCTCCTTCGCGGAGCAAAGGGCTTCAGTGAAAGCTCTCCATCGGGTTCTGTTTTTGGCAGATGTTTTTGCTTCCTTCCATGTTGACCCTACTTGTTGAAGCTCATCCAGTATGGAACGTCTCCATGTTTGAGCAGGTCGTCCTTGCTTTCTTTTTCCTTGGGGATTCCACTCCAACGCTGATCTCGCTATATTACTATCAGGTTTTCGCAAAGTGTGACCTATCCAACCCCATTTTCTTTTGCGGATTTCAATGCCTACTTCTTGTTGGTTTGTAAGATGAAGCAGGTCGGTGTTACGTATAGTGTCTAGCCAAACGATTTTAAGTATTTTCCGCAAGCAGCGATTGATAAACACCTGTGGACGGTTGATGGATATTTCTGTCACTCTCCATGTCTCGCAGCCATATAATAAAACTGGTATGACGTTGGAATTGAATATTCTTAATTTTGTTTGTATGGAGAGTTGACGGGAGGTCCAAACTGATTTTAGTTGACCAAAGGCTCGCTGCGCCTTCCTGATCCTGCTGACAATATCCGCGTCTGCGCCACCGTTTGCTGTTACAATACTTCCCAGGTAAGTAAACTCTGTTACATTCTCGACATGTTTGATTCCTACATTGAATGGAGTGTTGTTGTTTGTGTTAATGCGCATTGACTTTGTTTTGTCGATGTTTATGCTTAATCCTACTTTGTCTGCTTCTGTTTTTAGACGTCTGAGCATCACTTCCATGTTTTTGAAGGATTGCGTTGTGAGACAGATATCATCAGCATAATCAAGATCCGTCAGATGCTATGTCAGAGTCCATTGTACTCCCCTAATGTTTGCTGTGGCTTTAGTCAAAACGCTGTCGAGCACGATATTAAATAGAAGCGGCGATAATGTGCAACCCGGCTTTACTCCTGTCCCTAAGTTAAACTGTCGCTGGTTCTACCGTTGTGCAGCACATTGCATTCTGTGTTTCTGTAGAGTTCCTTGATTATATTAATTAGTTTTTCCGGAACACCTTTTTCTTTTAGAGTTTTCCATACCATCGCATGGGGGATACTGTCAAAAGCTTTGACGAAATCTATGAATAATAAGAATAAAGGTGACCTAAATTCTATTGACTGCTCTATGATAATGCGCAATGTGTTAATATGGTCAATGCACGAGTGGTTCGGTCGGAAACCAGCTTGGTTCTCTCTCAGAGTAGGCTCTATATAGGAGTTTAACCTTAAATGAACTATAGAGAATATTATCTTGTGAATGGTGTTTAACAAAACAATACCTCTCCAGTTGTCACAGTTAGTGGTATCTCCTTTTTTAGGGAGTTTAATAATGAGACCCTGTTTCCATTCATCTGGGATGATGTTAGATACCCAAGCTCGTGTAATTAGAGGATGCAGTATGTCTGCTGCTGTGCTAGGATCTGCTTTGAGGAGGTCTGCAGGGACGC